ATACTGAATATTTGATTCAGTTACTTTTCAGTTATTATATTCTATTAATATTAATTAATAATTAATAATACCAAAAATTCACAAAAAGGGTAAGAGCCACATGAGCTAAGCCAAAGCATCCCCAAGAGCCATATGAGAAGAGACAACATGGGAAGATGAAATCGAAGGGATAGAGGCCACAAGCAAAGAAAGCTTGGGAGCATTAATCCAATCACCTTTCTGGACTCACATTTTGACAAGCCATGTAAAAGACCAATCAGTACCACGTGCCCACTGGTGCATTTTATATTACCTACTGATGTGGTTCATTTACCCAAACAAAACTGACACTGAAGGCCCTCCAAGTCATTTTTATGAGTAGAGAAAAAAATGAACCTGATCTTCCCCTCATCTTTACATCAACTAGATAATGAATAACACTTCAAATTACTTAGCTAATGAAAATGATCAATCACTGTCTTATCTGGTTAAAAAGGGAAAGTAAAAAATAAAATAAAATTGTGAAGTGCTTTCATAAATCAACAGGGCCTCACCAAAGCAACTTATGAAAGAACGTGGAGAAAATCAACGGTTGACTACTATGGCGCACACTTAGATGCGATGCTACAAAAAGGTTCTCAGCAGTTGTTAAATTCATTTAGAAAAACGCACTTTATTTCTCCAACAGAGATCTCACTAGCTAATCTGTATCATAACCTGTATGGGGTCTTAATATTCTCAGCAAGATCAAGATTCAGGCAGCACTGATTTGGCTATTTAATCCTGCAAAACAACAGTATTTGGCAGGAAAAGACCCCAAAACACTAAGGTAAAGTCTCAACAGTGAGTTCCTCAGTGCAGACAGGGCCAAAATACTGAAGGTGAAAACTTAGTGGGGGTGACAGATCTCTATGGTTTCCTTTTTCCTAGTCCTCTACTCAAAATGCCAGATGTGTGTCTATGCATGCGTAATGGTATATGTACATATACATATGGAAAAAATCACACATTTTATGAATGTTTGAGATCCTCTCATCAACAAAAAATATCCAAGTGCTAAAAGTCTGGATTATTTCCAGTGGTCTCCTAATTATTCTCCCTGACTCAAACCTCTCCCTTCACTGGTCCATCTTCTACAGAAATGTCAAAGTAATATTCCCAAAGTTCAAGATTGATCATGTCAGACAGGCTAATCCTTAAAAAATCTCCAAAGTTTCCCTGTTTCAATAACAATATTAATAGTAACAGCAATAATAATAACTAGCATTTAAGTAGAGCTTTAGAGTTCGCAAAGCATTTCACATATATTATCTCATTTTATCCTCACAACAACCCTTGAAGGTAAGTGCTATTAATATCTTCATTTTGCAGGTGAGGAAACTGAGGCAGAAAGGGGCAAAGTGACTTGTCTGGGGTCCACCGCTAACAAGTATCTAAAGAAGGATTTGAACTGAGGTCTTCCTGACTCTGAGTCACCACCTAACCACCTGTAAACACAAGGGTTGCTAGGTAGCACAGTGCACTGGACCTGGAGTCAGGAAGACTCGTCCTCCTGAGTTCAAATCCAGTCTCAGATACTTACTATGTGTGTGACCCTGGGCAAGCCACTTAACACTATTTGCCTCAGTTTCCTCATCTACAAAATGAGCTAGAGAAGGAAATGGCAAACCACCTCAGTATCTTTGCCGAGAAAGACCCAAATGATATCACCAACAGTCAGACATGATTGAACAAACCTGTAAACACAAATAATAATATAAATAAAATACAAATTCCTCTCTTTGGAATGTAAAATCCTTTACAATCAAATCTCAGCCAACCTTCCCAAATTTACTGCACGTTACTCCCCCTAACATACTCCAGGATCCAGCCAAAAAAAAAAATGGCCTGTTTGCTGTGGCACAAACACACATCATTCAATTGTACAAAAGGCACAAACATATAATACTCAATTGTACAAGCTGTCACCCTGTACCTGGACTGTATTCCCTTCTCACACACCTGCCTCTCTACTTTCTACTGCCTGGTCATCTTCTCACCAGCTACCTTGCCACCCCACCATCCCCTGGAGGTTTTCTGACTTTTACCTCCAGAACTTCTACCCTGGGTGCCCACTGTCCTGATTGTTGAATGTCTCACTTGGTCCACTATGTCAGGCAAGTCACAGCTATGCTTCATCTTATACCTGACTTCCTGGCCATCTTCTCAACAGAATCCTTGCCTCCATCTAAATTCCCTACCACTGTCTTCCTCCTAAACAATGATTACAACAACTCTGACTCTGCTCCTGGAAAGAGGGTCAATCTAGTTCCTTCTGTTCCCCACTCACCATCCCTATAAATGTCTGGACCAAAATGCCCCACCCTAGCCAACATTCCTCTATTTATGTTATCTCCTCCAATTAGAGTGGAAACCTTTCAAGGGCAAGGACTGTTTCACTTTTGTAATTTTATTCCCAGAGCATAGCAAAGTGTTGGCACTTTGTAAGAAATTAATAAATGCTTTTCATTCTTAGAATCTATAGCTTCCTTCAAAGCTTAGGTTAAACATTATCTGCTCCATGAGGCCCTTATTAATCCCTATAAATCAGTGATTTCACTTTCTTTGAGTTCCTTAATAGTTTCTCCAGAAGTTCCTATTATTTATGGTATAGTGATTTTTTTTCAAGCAGTTGTTAAAATAATGAAGTCCAGTTATATCAAAGTCTTGCTTGGCTCTTACTGTTGACTAATACTGACCGAGAAGGAGAGAGAAGAGGAAGAAAGGGAGAGAAGGAGAGAGGGAGAGATGAAGAGAGGGAGGAGAGGAGAAGGAAAAAGGAGAGAAAGAGAGAGGAGAGAGAAGACAGAAAAAGAGAGATAGAAGAGAGAGAAGACAGAAGGAGAAAGAGAGAACTGATGTAATAAAAGCAATACTAATATAATCAAGTATTTTTTAATGTAGGAATATGTTGAAGGTACTCAAATTTAAGACCTAGAAAAGACCTCTGTGCTCATCTAGTCCAACCCATTCCCAAAAAGAACTTCCCCTATAATATAAACGACAACTGTTTGTCCAGAATCTTCTTAAAGACTTCAAAGGAGGAAGAATCCATCAATTCATCTTGTAACTTTCTCACCATTCACTCACTTCTCTTGACTTCTGAAATTGTAGTTACATTTTCCTGGTTAATCACTCTTCTTTTTGATCATTCCTTCTCTGTCTCTTTTTTTAGGTCCTCTTTGCATTCTCTACACATTAATCTTCTCTACAATTTTATTCTTGGCCCTATTCTGTGTTTCCATTCTCTCCTTTAGCAATATCATTCTCTCCTACAACCTTAACTATCACCCTAACATGTATGACTCCTGAGTCTCTACCTCCACTCCTAACGTCTCTCGAAAGCTCCAGACTCATATTTCCAACTGTGTACAATATATTTTCACCTAGATGTTCCACCTGGAATTCACTCTCAATATGTGCAATCCTTGTCTTACTACCTTTCACCTAAAATAGGTTCCTCTTTTCCACTATTTACTGGTAATGTTATTTAAATGGATATGTCTTGTTTCTCCAACTAAAATATGTTCCCTAAGGGCAAGAACTGTGGCTTAAGCTTCTTTTGCACTCTCATAGTGTGGTGCACATAGTAGATGCTCAATAAATAGATGTTAAATGACTCTGTATACCTGGAGCATAACTGTTATCATAAGGTAACATGTTTGTTCTTAATAGCAAAGATACACATGAGACTTTAGAGGTATAAAAATAAATCTTTAAATTGCCCTAACTTCTGCAAAGTAACTTCTTTGCTCATGTAATATTTCAACTGTTGGAAAGAACAAATGAGTTTTTAACCTCCTCTACTTTCATTCTAATGCTGTTAATTGAAATGGGAAATCTTATCTTCCTATCTCTTTTTCAGATTTTACGGAGACACAGGCAAACTCTATCCCTTTTGTTTCCTCAAAGAATAAGGAGATTAAGAAGTTAAATTGTTCCAAATAAATTATGAGTTAGCTTGGTCACAATTAATAGTATAGCCACAGAAGGAAATCCAACATAAATCTGAGCAGGCAGGAACAGATTCTATCGCCCCGTCCTCAAGGCCAAGTAAAGTCTAAGGGCATTAGAGGAATGACATCGTTCTTTGAGAAGTAAGGGTTGAGATTTTTAAAAAACACTTCTTTAAGGAAGCAGTAGCATGACATTTTATTCTGTCACAAGAAACACAATGTCTCAAATGCTGCCTAGGCAACTGTTAGGTAAAAGAAAGCCGAAAAAATAAAGCCCATGGAGAAAATACAGAAAAAGCAACTTTAATAGCATAGAATTGATCCTGGAAAATGAGAGAAGAAAATGCAAATTAGAAAAGAAAATACATCTTTTAACAGTGAAAAATGAAAATTTGAGAATGGAAAAAATCCCTGCTACCAACTTTCAACTCATTTAATTTTCATGAACCTGAAAACTTCATCGAGGTTGCCAGTCATTTAAGAAGTCTTTAATAATGACCCTCCCATCCCCACCTTAAGCCAACTAAAAATTAGACTCAATTATAATTTTGCTACCTAAAATGTAATAGAATTACATAATATACCAATAAAAAATGCAACGACGCTATCACACCTGATGTGAAACTATAATTCAATGACGCAGTAAGTTACTTTATTCACAGTTAGAGGTCCAGAAAAGCTAAATACATTTCTGACTAGATTTAATAAAGCTAAACTGCAAAGTTATTATTAGCATAAATAAGACTCAAATCTGCATTGAGGAATAAAATAGAACATTGACAACAAAAATGTTTTTCATTGTCTACAGATACAATAATTGTTTTTTTTTCCCCCAGACATAGGAATCCTCCATTTTTATCACCACTTCTCTCCCCCATCTATCTGTCACATCTGTGCAGGACAAATTTGTCTTGTACACAAAGTGAGAAGTAGATATTCTGAGCTGTAAAATTTAACTGGGACATGGAAAAGGGGGCAGAGTTTGTTACAAACACATAGTTTTTAGAACATTAAAACTGAACTTACCTGTTGATGCTCTAAATATGAGATCTTTGTCCAATAACCAACATTTTTAGCAGTGGAAATAAGCCATGTTCACATATACATTCTCACTACAAATAAATCAGAGAATTTAAAAAAGTTATCGCTAAATGGAAAGATGATTTGTGGGTTCTTTTCTGAGAGGCTATTTAAGGAGATGGTCAAATTGGTTTCATTATGAACCACCACCACCCCTCATGAGAGCAACAAAAATATTCATTTCATGGAATACTTGGTCATCTTGACTTGTAGTACTCATGATAAGCATAGAAATGGGATTCACAATGAAGATAATTGAAACTGATGTTCTAACATCTGCTACAAAAGATAAAGAAACAAAGAAATTCTATGAAGACTACTCAATGATTTGAATATGAACTTGGGATTGGGAAGAGTAGAGAAAAATAGGTTGGAAAATACAGTCCAAATTGAGAAATGAAAGAAGCAGAAAGCTATTCCGAAATCTCCTCTTTAAACGTTATGAATACTTTCTTCAGGTAGAGATTCAGAAGGCATGGGGCATAGTGAGCAATGAGCAACACCATGTCACAAATGAAAATGACTATATTTAAGAGATAAGACGTTACAAGTTATCAACATAAGCCCCACATCTCAGTATCCAATGTGCTACATGAGGGGAAAATGCCATTGAAGAAAATAAAGTAAAGAAGTGCTGAACCCAATAATGGTCTAATGGACAAATGGCCTAATGTGCAAAGTGTAACAAAAACCTAGAATGAAGAGAGCATAAGGAGCAAAGGGAGATCAACAGTGTTGTAAGATGCAGAAAAGTCAAGAAGGCTATAGAGTGAGATAATGCCATTAGCTTTCACAATTAAAAGATCATTGGGAACTTTGGTAAGAACAATTTCAGTAGAATGATAAAGTTGGACTGCAGAAAGCAAAGAAGAGAATGAGAAGAAAGAAAGTAGAGGTGACTATTGTAGAAAGCCTTCTTGAGGAGTTGACCTATGAAAGGGAAGAAAGATATGGAATGATAGCTACTGGGGATGGACAAATGAAGTAAGGGTCTTTTTGAGGCTGGGGGAGAGATGGCCATGTTTGTAGATGTAGGGAAGCAGCCAAGAGATAAGGAGAGAGTAAAGATAATAGAGGGGGAAAATCTTCTGGAGAAGACAGAATGAAATGATATCATTTGTTTATGTAAAGGAGTTTGCCTTGGCAAGGAAAAAGGCCACCTCTTTATGTGAGATAGGAGCAAATGAGGAGAGAGTGATGGAAGGCATCTGAGTATTTATATATATATATATATATATATATATATTCATTCATTTATTATTATTAAAGGGGGTGGAGGTAGTGCTTTCTCATATCTCCAAGGTGGGACAGATTATTTTTGCAAATACAACTCTTTTATTTGTTATGTTCAAATAGCATTAGACTCTGCATAGAAAATTAAATAAAACCAAGTGTGAGAACAAACCTTGTGTTTGGAAAAATCAAATAATATATCTTTCTCATGCACTTCTTCATTAACATTTTTTGGGACAATGAAAAGATTTTTATAAGCTCTGCCTGTGCTTGGCACAGTGGCTGGCATACAGTAAGAGCTTTAAAAATGCTAGTTGACTGACTGACAGTCTATTTGGCAACACTTTTAAAAGTTCAAAAAAATGGCTTAGATACAAACTATTTTTTGTAAAATACTTTATTTGCTATATCATAGTCCTCTATTGCATACTTGCTCTGTATACACAAAGATAATGAAGGGTAGAAACATCTGGGAAAATATTTCAGGTTTGTTCATTTTGTTGTGGGGATAGGTTTTACTGAATCATCTGTCCCCTTGTTTGGTCACTATTAATGTACTTGCTGAATATGACTAAAATACAATCTATGAACAGAAGAAAATTTTCATCTATGTGACATTATTGTTGAAGCTCAAATCCCAGCTTCAGCAACTAACCAGTTCTGACCAGTTTGGCAATACACACACATGAACATGTATGTTTATTTATATATGTATATATAATTTGTATATGTGTGTTTGTTTGTTTACTCATTTATTTATGCTGTAAGAGAAATTCCAGGGGACAAAGTTCTCAGCATGATCTATTTATTAGCAGGACTAGCAATTACCAAAAAATGGGGTCAATGACGCCCAATGACCAAAGACCCCAAGTTAGGGATGATAGGTTCTTTTATCATGCTATACAAGATGATACAGCAAAATCCTGAGCAACAGAAGTGTGTCTTGTTCTGATTGGCTAGTTTTAATGAGGAGGTGAGATAAGAGTCATCTCAGCTCCTCCCCACTACATCATTGGGAGGTAAGATCAGTTCCCTGGTGATAGGAGTTGCTACAGCAGTTTTAAATTAATGAAACTGACCTTCAGGTTAATCAATTTTCGAATTGTGATGTGATGGGTAGAGGTACAAATCACAACTTAAGGGTGGAGTTACAAGTCAAAAAAGTAAGACTGTGAACCAAGTGACCTGGGGTTACCCAAATGAACTTGCAAAACTGATGAATTTAAACACATACGGTAAAGGGAAATATTAAATCTATGCTAGCTTGATTAAGCATTAACAAAATAGAATTAAAAATCAATTTTCAATTTCACATACACACATACACACAAACATACACACATATATATACACAGACACATATACATAAACATACATACATAGATATAACGAGACTACCTTCTTCCAAATTAAAGGCTTCCACACAAAACACCCAAACAGTAGTAAGATACTTATATTTTTGAGTGATATTAACAAAGTGCCCTCCATTTTAACCTCAAATGACTTCTCGGTTTTCACCCATCTCATATTTCTAACTATCCCCATGTTTGCTATACATAAAAAAGGAAGAAAAAAAGTGTCACTCTGTCAATTGTTTGGGTTAATATAAGACCTAATTGCCTGATACACTATAATTTTGCCACCAATTTACAATTAGCATGCATTTCTCATGCATGAGTTGACCCAATTACATAACAAATTTATGCCTTTAGGGATTTCTCTTGACTGCTTGTCTCGTGTCCACCATACAACTCAATTTCACACTGTCAGCATCCTGAACATGGTTACAGTCAGTCTCTGTCAAAATGATTTATTTAAATTACAAACAAAGACTCAGAATCACTAGATAATCGCTCCCACCCTCATGCCTACCCTCAATATCCAACCCGACTTTGAGTCAAATGTTTTAATAGATCACGGACATAGGCTTTCAATCACTAGGCAACGTCTAGCTCCAATGATCTAATATTTTGGAAGATGACTCACAATAAATCAGAGAACTAGATCAGTAATGTATGTCCATTTAAGCCAACTAATTTGTAAATGATTAACTTATACTCCATTCTCAGATTTCAGTGATAAATAATATCACTAAAGAGGCTGCTTCAATCATCAATAGCTTATCAATTTGTCATAAGAAATAAAAATTTTCATTTCAATATTCTCAGACACCTAGAAATTTTCTTCAACTATAATTTTGGTGGAGGACATTTAAAAAAACTTTTGAACACATAATTATTTCTTAGGAAAGGGAAGGATTAGTGTAAACATGAGAATGAGTTTGTTTTAAAATAAGTAAGATTTTGTCAATTGAAACATAACAGTTTTTAGTCGTGAAAGGAAGACACAAGGATGCTGTGATACATAGTAGGGGCAGAAAGAGAAGGGGAAGGAGAGAAGAAGATGATGAAAGGGGGGAAGGGGAGAGAGTGAGAGACAAGGAGATAGATGGAGCAAAGGAAAGAGACAGGGGTAAGAGAAAGAAGGAGAAGGGGGGGGAGGGGGGGGCAGGGAGGAGAGGGGGGGAAAGTGGAAAGGTAAAGGGGATGGTAGGGGAGCGGGGAGAGAGGGAAAATATTTATTAAGCATTTACTATGCTTAAGTAGGGCTATGCTGGGGATACAAATACAGGAAAACAATATGATTCCCAGTCTCAATGGGTTTATATTCTAACAGAAAAAGATAAATCCTAAACAGGAGCCAAAAATTGGGGCAGGGGCTGGGGCAGGGGTGGGGAAGGTTGGTCTCATGAGTGGTCAAGGTTGCTTGTGGTTTGTCCTTCATTCTCAAAGAGGACCATGACATCAGGAGGATGATGGCATGACTTGCAAGTGAACTGGATTTAAGTGAGGGAGGGCTGTGCAAAGTCATCAGCCTCACTTTCTCCTCCACAGCCAACTGGGTCCAATGGCCAGATATAGATCGGGACCACTGCATATGGCCCAGCTCAAGGTTGCTGGTGAGGACATGGAATAACACAGAGAATAAGCCGATTTGAGAATGAAATGAGTATGGCTAGAATCCCTCATGAAAAGGTGATCCTGTCCAGGGACTTACTAACCAAGAGATACTGAATTCAGGAACACCTGAGTTTGAATTCTGCTTCACACACTTAAGAGATTTAATGCTGGGCAAGTCATTTAAATTCTCTTAGCCTCAAATTCCTCATAGGCATAATGGGGATAATAATGGCATATTCCCAACAAGATAATGGTAAGGACCAAATGAGAGTGAGTGAGTGTGTGTGTGTGTGTGTGTGTGTGTGTGCGCACATACATACATACATACATATATACACATATATAAAGTGCTCTGGTGAACTTTAAAGGTTATATAAATATTAGCTATTGTTATGATTATGATTATGATTATCATTCTGATAATTCTCCTTAAAGTCAATGCTATTTGCACAGACAACCCCCACTATTCTCCTGATGATATAAGCATAAACACAAATACAATAACAAATATACTCACCACATAATTCATTCTAGGAAATACATCATTTGGCCATCTTTTTTTTATTGCTTTTCACATGATTTCTCTCCTTCCCCTAAATTAAATGAGAAAATAAATAAGGAATACTTATCTTCTGGGTTCTATTGTCAGTACAAAGTTTGTAAGTGTTCCCCCGGGCTTAATGTTACCTTTTAGGGGACAGTTTATCTCCAATCTGTTTCAGCTAGTCAAGAGTGCAGTTTGGGATGTAGTTAGTAAACAGGCAGAACAAAATGTGTCAATAATGTTCCCAAGACTGCCCTGTCACTCAAATGGGTAGCAATGGCAACAGCTCAGTTATGTGGGCCTACCACAGATAGGCTTGATGCTGCAGACATAGAGACAGGAAATGCCTGAAATTCGAATAAGCTATTTTCATATGCCTTCCAAACTGCCAAAAAAAAAAAAAAAGCAAAGAATGCCCCAATGACAGTTAAAGTGCTTTAAAACATTAAAAGCAAGAGCCCCTTTTCCTTTCTCAGATTCCTCATGTATATTTACAGTGCACTTTTAGAAAAAAATTCCTACAAGACACTTTCTGCTAAATAAAAAAAAATGTTTTCAAGTAAATAGGCACTCGCATAAAGTTCTCAAACCCTAGGATGCTCATTAAAAATAAATGGCAGCCAGGTAGTTTTGACATGGAAAATGGTATGACCCTCCTGTGACATAAAAAAAGTTCAAGAGACATAATTTCTGGGTAACTAATCATTTTATTAATCATGCAACCACATAATTAATAAAAGGGGATCAGTGGTACTCTCAAATGCCAAAAACCCCTCAGCGAACCCTCTCAACACTTACATGCCCTTGGAAGAGAGGGTATTCCTGAGGGTGGCAATCAACTCTGACTGGTTAATAATTAATGAGAAAATGAATATTATAATGAGAGGTGGGATTATTCTAATGAGGGTCTGGGGGACCTGACTGATCACCCAGTCTTGGTCAAAGGGATTTTATCTATACCCATCTAGGATAATCTAGAAAAAAAGGGAGAATCCACATTTTGGCAAACCTGTCTGAGTAAAATACAATGGGCTGGAATCCATCAACTTACCTAATCTCAAACTTTACTAAATTGTAGTTTACCTAAGCTAAAATTTAAACTAAAAAAAAAAAAAAAACTTTAATTTTTAAATAGATCTAAGTTTTCCCTCTCATTATCAGCCCTGCACTTAAAAGGCTGCCTGAATAAACTACAGGGGCTGATTTATGAATGAGGAAGTAGAAAAGGGGAAAAAATCTTGGTGCTAAGTCAATAATTGGTTATTAACAGGAGAGAGAAATAATCATTTCTCTCAGTGCAAAGCCAGTAGAAACAAGCTGGCTGAGTTCAGAACTCCTGGATCAGCATTGGCCATCTGTAATTAACCATACAAGAACCATAATGGAGCATACATACTTACCTTTGGAGGAAAAAAGTAAATTTATTAAAAGCAATCTTCCGTTAAATGCAAGAACTAATTCCTGTAGAACTGGTCCTCGAATCAAATGCTGGCTGTCTTAAGAGCTTAGTCCAATAGTTTTTCATGAATATTAACATATACAAATCCAATCGAGGCTTCTTCAGCAATCCTACACAAAGCTCTCCATTTCTGTTTTAGCAGTTGGGTTCTATTCCTTTAGATGTAACCATCCAGGCGACTTGAAATCTTGCCTCCCCATCAGTTCCCTATTCTCCCTGAAGCTGTAATAAGAACAGAACAAGGTAGTCAGAACAAGAATTTTAAATTGCAGCATTTACTAAGCCATCCATGTTCAATACACTGTCCTTGCCAACACCGAAAGAAAAAAACCAGGATCCAAATCACTACGGTATTTCATTACAGACAAAATTTGAAATTTCCAAGTGTGTGTTCATTGTTAAATGGTTTTAAATCCTAAGTGAATGAATGTAAAAACAGATAAAAACACCACTATAATGAAACACACAAAAGCAATTCCAAATGCCTATGTTGTCATGAGATACGTAAAATATCTAGAATTTGTCATTGGGACCTTAATTTGTCAATTCCCCTAATATTATTCTAGACAAATCTGTCTAATAATCCTTCTTGGAATGAAAGAGTCTAACAAGCCATAGATTTCTGTTTAAAACATGTCAGCTCAGTATCTTCAATATCTCTGACACGATGATTCTGATCACCTTTTGGCCTGGCCATTTCTACATCTTCTCTCTAAAATACACATAATCCAGTCCATGGGCTTAAAATAATACACTGGGTTAATATACTAGAATGCCTAGGTTAAACCTAAATAGTTTGGAAAGATGGAAGTACCATCTTTTTTTTTTCTTTCCCAGACATTGGATCTGGGATTTCTCTAGTTTAAGAGACATCTGATGATATATATGTATGTATGTATACATACACACACACACAGAACAATGCTAATCTGTACTTGCCTGGTATGTTAGTCTCAGAGAGTTGCCCTGAGCACTGAAAGTTAAAGAGACTTGCCCAGGGTCATACAGCTAGTAACATCATTTTACAATCTCTTGTAATCTATCCAACCTTTCTTAATCAGAAAACAAAAATAATGAAATACATGTGTGAGTAACCTGGAAATAACCTCAAATTTACTGGCACAAAAAGTAAAAGTTTCACTATGCAGCAAAAGTTTTTATTAGCCTATACTCTCCTTAGGAGTCAATGCCAAGAAGAAAAATCATATAATTAACATTTTGGATTAACCTGCCAACATGCATAATATGTGTGTGTGTGTGTGTGTTTATGTATTTATGGCTGAGTTATACCATGATCACAAAAACTACCGAAATTTTTAAAATAATGAACCAGCAAAATTATTTCCCCTAGAAATCAGTCCAATTTTGAAGCTCTAGCTATAAGGTGATGTACTAATAAAGACATGGATAAGATAAAAAAGAGAAAATACATACCTGTCAGAGGTTTACTGGTCACTAGAGGAAGGATTTTCAAAGAGCCTCTAGTATATAAAAATACTATATCCCTGCTAATGATAAAAAATGAATTTAAAACAGCTAATTATTTTCTTGTTAAGTGCAAAAGTTAAATTAAATTTGAATTTTTTAAAAGTACTTGCTTACCTTCCCATCAGCTACTGCATATTGACATCCTTAAATTAGTCATCATATGCATTTCTGAGGTGAAAATTTTAGTTTTAGGGAAATACAGTTGATCGATGATGGAAACTTTTAAATGCAGTATTGTATGTAGCATGATCCTTGTACAAATTAATACAATTTCAAGAAAGGTGGTCAGGAAAAGAAATGTCATTGAAAGTAACTTTGATTGGAATATGTTGGTGAACTCATTTTGGTTTTTAAAAGAAAAAAAACCTTTTGACTTATGGGGGGAAAGAAGAAAGGGAAAGGAGGGGGAAAGGAAGCATCTTCAATATTTGGAGAATTGTTTTTTATGGAATAAAAGTCACAACCCCTTGAAATTAAGACCCTTCTGGTCATGGTGGGGGCGGAAAAGGACCTTAGAAATATCCATTTTTATTCAAATAACTAACCTAACAGGGCTAGTCTTGGGCAAATTAATAAAATAAACAGTTTGTCTTTGATCATCTCCCAATAGATTCTTCACTTCTTTCCTTCCATCCTTGTCAATTTTAAGGAAAGTTCTGATTTATTTCTTTGAAATCCTTATTTTAAACTCTTCAAACTGGGTCTTATTTTCCAATATTTTGATTTACTAGGGGCAGATAGTATAGCACCAAACACAACTCACTGATTCTAATGATCCTGGTCTTTTTTCTGTTTCTCTGCCTCATACCCAGCTTTCTCTACCAAGCTCCTCTCAGAACTCCTTCCCTTTTCCGAGATAAGAACCATGATCAAAGGGATGGTGGCAAGAAGAGGCATGCAATGTTCGGCAGGATGAGGAGCTCAAGGATAATGGAGAAAGAGCAAACCTGTCCTGGATTTCCCTAAGTCAGAAGACTGTATAGTCACTTTTCCAGTTTCATCTTAAGAAACAAAGAAACAAAGGAAGAAAGAAAGAAAGAAAGAAAGAAAGAAAGAAAGAAAGAAAGAAAGAAAGAGAGAGAGAGAGAGAGAAAGGAAGGAAGGAAGGAAGGAAGGAAGAAACAAAGAAACAAAGAGAAAGAAAGAGAAAGAAAGAAAAGAAAAGAAAGAAAGAAAGAAAGAAAGAGAGAAAGAGCAAAAGAAAGAGACAAAGGAAGGAGGGAGGGAAGGAAGGAAGGAAAGAAGGAAGGAAGGAAGGAATTGTTTTTTATGGAAGAGAGAAATAGCAAAAGAGAGAGAAAGAAAGAGAGAAAGGAAGGAAGGACGAAGAAAGAAGGAGAGAAGGAAAGAGAAAAAAAGAAAGGGAAAAAGAAAAGAAAAAATAAAACCCACAAATAATTTTAATACAATTCACTAACCTTTCCAAATTGTTTTCTTTTCCTTCTCAACCTACCTTTTAGTGCCCAGTAGCTAAAGTACAATTTTTGAGCAAACAGTGGCTATATCAGAGTCAGAAAGCTAAGGATCCCTTCACTCAACTCATTACATCCTTCTCACAGAGTTGAGCACTTTCTATTAATACTAGACCTGCCCTCCCTGACCAGACACATCCATGTTGTCCCACCACCATTTGCTTTGTTAAGATGACTCTCTCCAATTCCCAGGGACAAAAATAACCTAGAACTTTTAAGGGAAGAGATTCCCCACCCCTAAAAAAAGATACATTGCTGTTGAAATCACAGGTGGTAGAAATATTATCTGTACCACTACACATGAGAACCCAGGTGATCTTAAATGTCCCAGTACCTGAAACTTCATAAAGCTCAAAGCTGTATAATGTGAAATATTCCCTGAAAATTGAGACTATACCATTTCTAAAGTCTAGAAGAGTGAGGGAAATACAAAATGGCTCACTAATTTAGGCAGCAAAATGGGCAAACTTTCACACGGTTGTTCATAGTATTCAACCACTGTTTTAATTCATACTCACTGAACAGGGACCTAAGAATAAAAATTTACTGAAGTGCTTTTTGAATAGTTCCCTTGTAAATAACTCCTTAAAAGAGCCATCTTCATAGGTTTAGAGCTCTAATCTGCTTAATAAAACCACTTCCCATTCCTGTTTTAATGAGTGATGAATTAACACTTCCATATCACCAGATGGGTAGTCTCAATTTTCTTTTTTCAAAGTAATTCCTTTACCATGCTGAAAACAACTTGTCAAATTCATTTTTACAAGATACATTGCTTAAAGCAATTACACATATAAGTGCCTGCTAAAAAGAGACCTCTTGCCCCATTTGGATGTGGAACTAACAAATTTTAATACACAAAATTCTGGGCATAACTGCAAACATTAGATTTTTCAGAATACCAACCCTTTTATCTGTATTTTTATATACTTGATCACAGTGGAGGGAAAAAAAACCTCACTGTGTTTCCAAAATTACCTTCTGAAAAAATGTTCATAAATATGTAAAACAATAAATAAGTAGATTCTGGACCATAATAACTAACGCTAAAGGGAATGTCTGTTTTAGAATAGGAAACGTAGAGATATAAAATATATCATTATGATGCCCAGTATTGTAGATATCCATGATGTAAACAGAGAAGGGAAAGTGTAATGAATAAGAGCTATGTTTTGTATGTGTGTATAGAGAGAAAAGAGTAGTCACTCACACATTTGGGGACACTTTCCCCTTCCCTACACACCCACACACGAAATCAACAAGGGAGTCCATTCCTTTCACTCTCGTCAATTCCAGCAGCAAAGCCTTCCATGTGACCCAATCACACCTTTCAGCTGCAATATGACCATCTTTGTGGCATGAGACCATCCCTCAAGGAAATTGTCACCTACGTTGCTGATCTGTTCCTGAGTCCTTTTCAGTCTTTGTAACTCAGGTGTGTCCGTAACAATGCTGAAGCCTCTTCCTTTGCTTTCTTCAAAATCCCTTTTATATTTTACCTAACAGAGGACAAAAAAATAAATAAAAGAGATATCACCTTTACAATTCAAAATAAGTCAGGTCAGGATAATTTCAAATGGATCAGGTGTCTTCCTCAGGTTGTCACAATTCATCTTATGGGCCAAAAGAGAAGAGTCGAAAGTAAGACCTGCAGACAGCAGTGAAATCCCAAATCAACAGCCATGAGTGGTCACCAGAAAACAAGATTTTCAGTCCAAAGAAGGCAGCTATAAATTCAAGAGCCAGTCACACTCTCCTAACACCATTGGACTTTTTGTTTTCTTCAAAAATGTCAATAGAGGAGAAAAAATTTTATTTGACTACAGAAAAAAATATGCTGTAAAGGAAAGTAAAACTTGTCTCACAATAATACCATTTCAGTCCATTATTTTGGGTACCAACTGAAGCTGAGAAGACAGGGAAGTGAAAGGAGGAAGAAAGCAAGAAGGAGATGTACACATGGGGAAAATGGTAGGCAAAGACCATCCTCAAGCAGCTTTCAGTCTACTTAGGGGAAAAAGGCATATAAATAATTATAACAACATATGCATATATAACTCTTTAAGTTTTGCAAAGTGAAATATATATATATATATATATACACATATATATTCATGCATCCATACACACACACACACACACACACACACACACACATATAGACACACATAAATCTTTTGGGATGAGAGATGAGAAGCAGTGTAGGGTAATAAATTATGAATTTACCTGGGGGTCAAAAAGATCTGGGTTCAAGACAGACCTCTGACATACACTGGCTATATGGGCCATTCACAATCTCTCCATGCTCTAGGCAATTCTCTAGGGCTGTAAATTGCAGCAAAGGGGCCAAATCACATTAATAGAAGGAGTCTCCTCATCTGGGAATTGTCTATATCAATGGTTCACAAACTTTTCTATCGTGATAGAACCCTTGAGTTCAAACAAAATACTCACAGAACTCTTGAATTAAAATCCTTTTAAAGTGATTATTTTTTAAAGTGATTATTTTAAATGCTTATTAACAAGCAATATAAGGTTCATTTTTAATGGTGCTTCCAGGTTCCTTGCACACAGTCTGGGAAACACTGTTCTATACTAATGAAATCACAAGTTCAGTTCCTATCCCTGTAAAGATGAGATGGGACTTCACTCTGTTCCTCATACATGAAACTCCATCCCTGATACGCTGTTTCCCATCTTTGTCACTCAGATTCACATTCCTGGAATGCACTTGCTCCTCACCTCTGTCTCATAAAGTCCCCCTCTTCCTTTAAGACACCACTCATCCCAAAGAAGATATTCAGAATTCATACTGGAGGTATGCAATACAATTTTAATTTTAAAAGCATTCCTTTTTTTGTCCAAGTACTTCAAGTTAGGAGAAGGCAGGTCCCTTTATTTGAACAAAGGATAAGTGGCAAAGTGGATAAAGTAATACACTTGAAATCAGGAAGACCCGAGTTAAAATTCAGATTCAGACACTTACTAGTCATGTGACCGTGCCTCATTGTCTCCATTCATAAAATAAGGAAACAATATTCTCCCAGAGTTCTTTCAAGGATCAGATGAGATATTCATAAAGTGCTTTGCAAACATAAAATACTATATAAATTCCAGCTATCATTATTTAGACACATCTACATTCAGGTCCAGAAATCTCAAGAAAAAAAGTTATTTTACCAGTGTTCCTCTTCTCAAGAAAAATAAATATACTCTTCTTTGGCACTAAATACCAAGAAATAGCAAAATATACTTAACACTTTCAGGCTAAGAATGTCTCCTCCCTTTATCTCCTCAATTAAATTTAAAAAAAAAAAAAAAGGTAAGTATTGAGTCTTCCAGATAAGCCACCTTCTTAGACTACAATTCAGTCATAAAAAAGAATTGTATTATTTTCCATCCACAGGAACATTAAATGAGATTAGCCTCTTCACCCTTAATCCCCCAGCATGCCTGTATGCATAGACACTATCTAGGCTTCTGTTCTTTGTATGCCTAGCTATGTAGGGAGGCTACTTAGACTTTCTTGAAGTCAGTAGTAAAGGCAGGAC